TGTTCCTATCACTGAAGCTGTTTGATAACTCATAGAGATATCAAGTGAGAAAATAGCGCAGAAAATTAAGGCTACCCAACAACTAATATGACATGCAATCTAATGATATTTTACACCCTTCTCATATTATAACCATGGGCATTAACCTAACAGCCCATTTTGCATGGCACACATTTATATGTATATACATGTATGTATATGTTATGTACATATGTATAAACAACATCTCTGATACTAAACAGCTTCATAAAGGCATGCTTAGATAAGCCTTCCCCATTTGTTACTTACATATTTCTCTAAGGAATTAATTTGTAGCATCCTCAAAATCACGATGCACCCCTCAATGTCCAAAGCATGCCTGTGATGCCAGGGGAAATCCACAAGCAAAACACTGCTGGTTTTTTGGATATTTAAGGGATAAGAATTCACAAGCCTTGATGCTCTTTTAAAAGTGCACTGTTCCAAATTATTTTCCCTTTGTTCTCTTTTAAGGAAACTACAATATTTTTGCTATTTTTGAGCTAGGTCAGATTTTTCTAGCCATGATTTCTCAACACAGAAAATCAATAGTGCCAAAGAGTGAACAGGAAAAGGGCAAGGGTGAAATCTAGAGCATCTGGAATGTATCTGATTTGGTAGATTTCTTGTGCATTAATACACTGTTGCTATTGTGGAGGGATGCAACAGAGTAGTGACTATTTGCATTTTCATAAATAATGTTTCATATAAACTCTATCATGCTACTATCAACCATTTTACATAGGCCTACTTACGGCCCTTGAGTCTGATTTTAACTATAATGACTATATCAGCAATATAAAAGCAATCCGCATTCTTAACTAGTCTATTCTAGTATATACACACTTCTGGTATCTCTTATGGGCAGTAACAGTAGAAATCTAGGGAAGCAAAGGCAAAAACCCCTTATCACACTCCAAAAGGGAAAAAAGATCTTCATTTCTGTTACATTTACTGCATAACCTGGCTAACAGCTGGGCTCTCCAGCATAATTTTGGAGAATGCAAATTAGATATGCCTCTGGAATATCAAAGACATCTGATGTATAATATGGCATTATTATCAAAGTCCACTCAATACTGATGGGCAGTTTATATAATAAAAAGAGAGTGCAGAATGCTGTGATACCAGTCCCAAAAAATCAAATTGCCATTCTGACACAGGGACATGTTTACAGTCTTGGCCCTTACCTGAGCAGACCTATTTTGGCTTGGATACTTCAGATTTAGATTATGAGCTGACATGGAGTTTTTTCACTGGCTGCAATTAGTCACAAGTGCAAAGAAAAAACTATTTGCCCCCCTCCCCCTGGGTCCTAGAGAGGTTACAACTAAACTATTTGTGACAATCTGGATGAAAACTTCCCCTTCCTTTAGACTGGCTTGGTTAACCTGATGGCTTCTAAACTCTGCCCTCTGTCTTCTTGGTATGAAGCATTATGTAAAGGTGGTCAAAGGAAGGGAAATGAACAATGTAGAAGTGAATTTGTTGCTGGGTCCAGAGCAGAGCTTCAGCATCTTTGTTTCTTGACAAGCTAGCTTAAAACTCAATATTTGGCTCAATGAGCCACATGTTGAAACTCAAGGGCAATGGAAAGAGAGGATAATACCCTCAAGCAATAGGGCCTTGTTACATGGTAACCTGAGGCAGCTTCTGGCTGGACCAGCTGCACTGGATTCACGTTAGCACCTTTTAAGTGGCTTAAAGCACTCATTATTTGGCTTCATGTTATGTCACTCCATGGCAGGATTCTCTTTAATCCATCTAATTTTACTACTGTTCCATTAACTTGTGGCGACTAGCCACAGCTTTTCTGCCCAAGTTGAAGTCCTCCAGCAATCCAGGAGCCAGTGGGCATATGGGAAGGCCAGGGCACAGCACCTCGCCCCCAGGCACCTCTGGTGGAGTGAGCACCACAGTCCCAGAACACCTGGTGGTCACGGTGGCTCCCGCCACCACTTGGACCAGCTCCAAGCACCCAGCTCCAAGCCAGCCCAAGCATGGGGCAGTGCACCACCTCCCCACTGTTATTAACACCGGCTCTCCTCTCCACCAGTGTGAGTAGCAATGGGGAGACAGTGCCTCCCCCCCACCCCCCACCTCTTCTTGAACTGATTTGGTCTACCCACACCAGAAGGAGAGCTGGTATGAGCAGCAGTGGGGAGGCAGTGCTCTTCGCCCCCCCGCAGCCTGGCTCACTAGAGCTGGGAGCAGAGCCAGTCTGAGGGCCAGTGAGGCGCCGCAGCTGCCAGGCACTCCAGGGCTGCAGCACTTGCTCTGCCCAGCAGGAGCAGCAAGACTGTCCTCCACACAGCTCCTAGGTCCTGCCTCTGCTCACCAAGCCTCCAGTGGCAAGTCACAGCTGTGCAGGTGAGGGGCAGCTTAAAGCAGGTTTTTTGCCTTACCACGTGACTGCTCCACTAAGCTGAACAGCACTAAGCTGATTAACATTTGTTCTGCTTACAGCACAGAGTCTGACAAGGCTCATAAAGGCTTTCTCTGCACAGTAAAATGCCTGTGAGCTGCAGGGATACCATAACACACCCAACGCTGTGGGTGGGATGCCTCCAATATCAGAAGCAGTGTAACCCAGAAAACCTAGCACAGCAGGCCCACTAATTAGCTGGCAGGTGCGCTAACTGCCTCATTCAGCATTGCTCATTAGCCTGGATGCAGCGCTGAGGCTCACAGTTCAGGATGCAACCCACAGAGAACAGCACACTGCGTGTAAGCATGTTTCTGCTGGGCACAGCCAGTTCACCACAGCAGGATACATAACCTAAGTAGCCATTACAAAGTTTTGAAAGCAAGTTGGCTTAGATAAACAGGGGAGTTGACTCTCCTGTTTGCATTACAGCGATTAAGGCTGAGATTTTCCAAGAAACCTAAGGGGGGGCCTTACCGAATTTCAGTAAGATTTGGGATCCTGGCTCTCTCATGCTCTTTTGAAAATCCTATGCTTACTCTATCATCAAACATTAAGCTTCCTATAAATTATCAGCCAAATATTGCACTCTTCTTTAGGGAACAGACTGGAGTGAATGGGCCCTGCAACTGCAGGACAGGGGACAGGGTGGAGCCACAGAGGAGAACCTCAACAACACAGCAGCATTTTCTCCTCTCAGACCCCTTAGAAACACTTCCAGCATGACAGTCTGGTGCCTTGGAGGGGAGATGTTGGGGATACTCCTGCTGCTTGTGGCATCACTGTTCCCCAAGCTCCATAGGAAAAATATTAATTCTGGCTCCATCCAGCAAGTTGCTAAAGAATGACCCTTACTTTGGACATACGAGTAGTGCTGAGGAAATCAGCAGTATTATCACATTCATAAAATGAGATATGTGCTGAAGGGACTTGTTGGACGACTCTTTCACTTTAAGCCTCAATCTGGCATTAATATATTTGGTCTCCACCTTCATCTTCTTGAAACCCTCCCCTGATGTGAAGCTGCAGCTACAGAACACCACAATACTAAAGCTGTATGGGAACTGTGCTCAATTCTGGAAAGAATCAAAGCAAAGGAACCGTGTCTCTGTGTAGATAGGTCTGGCCTCTGGGAACCACTTGGAATTCTGAAATTTGCAATTTCTCAAGGACCATTCCTCCAAATGCAAAATGAATGTAGTTCCACATCACCCAAAATAGGTTTCTGCATTGCCTGGGAACAATTTGGCTCTTGGATTCTTGGAAACTCAGCAAGATGTATTCAACAAAACTATATACTCTGGATGGCTACAATGCCTTCAGGCTCTGATCTAGCAGAGCATTTAAACCAGTGCTTAACTTAAGCACTGAGCAGTCCAACTAAAAATCAGTGGGACTATTCCCATGCATAAAGGTAAGTGTTTGCTGAAGCCCTCTAGTGAACTGGGCTATAGATTCATATTGTGCCTGATAATTATTACCTGTATGTTAGCAAGGCACTCATTCTCAGGCATGAAAATTCTGGACTCATCCAATGTATCAGTATTCTTAACTGCTTGATCTAGCTTTGGGTTTTCTTGCCTATTACACTATCATCTCATCTCCCAATGATATCACCCTGTCATCTGGGTACCTTCCAAGTAAAATTAACTTCATGACATTCGCTAAGTAGGTTTTATTTTTAATGGTTTTTCTCCCTTTTCAGGGTAGAAATAAGGAGCCCTACAATTCTCAGCTCAAGTTAGAAAGAAGTGCCCAACTGACAGATGGGCCAGCTATATAATTCCCAAACTGTGTTTACTGTTCACTGTGCTGATAGATATATACATACCTCTAATAAGCAGCTGCTTATAACAATTGTGCATACCTTACAGGAGATAAATAGCAGAAGAAACTCTAATACTCAAGTTGAATAGAATATAGTCTCAGGGATCATGTGAAATGAGCAAGCATTAATATTGTATATTAAGATAATCTTCTTACTATGCAAGCTTTAGCTACTGCCAATAATACATTTTACAAAGCACTGATAAATGTTAGCCATGCCAAAGTCTAGGATAAAACATGAGCATAACTATTTTCTACAATCTTTCCATAAGATAGTATTTTCAAGACACTGTAGCAACTGTTTTATGCAGTTCATCATAACTAGCAAATATGAAGAACCTACCTAAGAACCCCACTCCGCATGTTCTAAACCAAATCCAAGGAGCAGGAATACAAAACCATCAGCCTTGTGTCCATATTCAGCAAATGAGGTAACAAAGGCCCTCTCTGGACTTGGATCAGAGCAATGCTAGCTAAAATTCTGTTAAAACCATGGTACAGACAACACTGAAGAGGAAATCTAGAACAGGAGTGGCCAACTTGCACCATGCACGCCACGTGTGGCACAGGAAACCTCTGCATGTGGTACACAGATCAGGGAGGGGACAGGTAGCACAATGGCAGGTAAGTAGAGTAGCGGGGTGGGCAGGAAATACAGGGCAGGAAACAGAAAGCAGAGCAGCTAAATGGGTAAGGGAAGGGGACTAGAATGGCACTCGGGAAAGGCACACCTGCCAAAAAGGTTGACCCCACATGATTTTGCTAGTACAATTCCCTTCTCACAACCGGCAAGCAAAGCATGTTAGATCTCCAATAGCAACAGATTCCAATACACGCAACAAAGTAAGTCAATCAATGGTACAGCATACAGTTCATTGTCTATATCTCAACAGAAATAGGTCTTTCAATGATTTCTTAGTAAAGGACTGTGCAATTCCAGATTAAATTTCTGTTCAGAAAGGCAATGATCTCACACACTCAATTCACTTACTTGACTTTAACTTGCACTGCTGAATTATAAAATTTACAACCTGCACGGAGCATGTTAGATCATGCCGCTTTTCTCATCCTGCAAAGAGGTTCGTGAAGAGGATCTTCCTAGCAACAGCTCCTTCTCATGGATCAGGCTATCTAGAAGGTCCTCCTGTCTGTAGTTATGATAAACCTTCAGGAAGGCCAGGATGGTAATCCCCAGCCAAGTCAGCCAAGCAGCCCAGAAACCAAACTAGACAGAAGAGATGAGGGAGAGATTAATATGTTTTATAAAGATAAAGCCAACCCACAGTGAAGGGCCAGGTCCTTGGATGGACAACTTCCAATGGAGCTAGGCCAATTCATACCAAATGAAGAGAATGAGCCCAGTGTTTCTCAACCTTTTTAGGCTTGTGACCTCTTATTCAAAATCAGAAAGAACAGAATACACTAGAAATCACAGCATTAACTTTCTGTCCCTAGTGCAGGGGGGCTGGACCCAATGATCTTGTGAGGTCCCTTCCAGCCTCTTACAATCAATGAATCTGTGAACCTATGAATCCTCCTCTCTCAGGGAAAAAATCATAAATGAAGGAACTACATGAACATGACAGGTGTATGTCTAAGCAAAACTATGACAGGTGCTATTAAAAGCATGTTGAACTCTACCTTACTGTAGAGGTGGCAATAGTCTGTGATTTGAAGTTTGTTCTAGTGACTATCTACTTAAGGGGATGGTAGGAATTTGTAAAACAGCCTGTGTAAAGCTGGAAAAGAAACTGTCTTCCAGTCTCATTAAAGTTTTTGTGAATTAAAAATCTTTCCATTCTAGAAAGTAAAAGCAATTCACTCCAGGGTTAGGGACAGACATTACACATAACCTGGTTTAAGTGATCAGAAACTGCTCATAGAACAGTTCTGCTGGATAAAGGGGGTATTTGATTTTATGCAGGATAGATCCTCTAAGAACATAAGAATTGCCATTTTCTGGGTCAGGCCATTGGTCCATCTGGCCCTGTCTCCTATGTCACACAGTGGCAGAGAGTGGGTGCTGCAACGGAGAGTGAGCTGGGTATGAACAGGGTTGTTTTTTCCCTCCCACTGTCCTCTCTCACTTGCAACCCCCCTGCATCTAGGCTAAGTAAAGACAGTCAAAAAACCTGAAGCTGAATTGACTCAATCTTCATAGGTTAGAGTCTACTCTAAGCTGTGTAGATTGAAATGCTAAGCAAGTAACCAGACATTCACTTTTGACTCTGGAAACACAGCCACATGCCTGCAGTGACTTGGGCTAGAAGCCCAGGAATGCTAGAGCAGCCAGCTTAGGCCCAGGCTAGTCTACCCATTCTGTGACAGAGAGTTTAAGGGGAGGTGCAAAGCATTCTGGGATGCTGGGGGAACTGAGTTAACATGAAACTGGAGGGGGTCTGGGAGAGAAGTTCAATAAACCAATTTAACCTAAAACAGTAAGTCTGATACAACGTCCATCCAGGTTGATCTTAAACTGGTTTCAGCCATTTTGAAAGCAGTTTATGTGCCCTGAACTTCTGTTGTGTTACAAATTTGAACCGGTTTCCAATCACTTATACCAGTTTAAGTGTAATTTCTGTTCCTAGCCCTAAGGTCTAGGAAGTTCTGAGTCAGAGGCTGTGCCCCTCGCACCCGTGTTCAATCACTACCACTTTCCTCCAAGAATTTGTCCAATCCCTTTTTGAATCTGGCTAAACTGGCAGCTTCCGCAACATCTGGTGGCACTGAAACATGAAGTAACAAATAATAACAACAGTAGATGTAAATTCAACGTCCATAACTATTTTTAATGTAAAAGTAATGTGACACATTGCTCCTGGTCCAGCACTCACTGACACCTATGGATAATTCTCATCAGTTTCAATGGATCAATTCAATCAGCTCCTATGGCCCTAGACAGATGCACAAATAGCAAATTAACTGGAATGTTGTGGGATCCTATTCTGACCTACCTGTGCAATAGCAAACTGGTCATAGAAGGCAGAGTTTTCTAAATTCAGTTCGAGATCAATATCCTGTAATTCTTCACAGCTACCAGAGGCAGGCATTAGGGGAAGAAAAGAAAATTATTTCAGAAAGTCCAAACGATCAGACTAAGCATAGGATGAAAAAAAAACCCAAACATTTAAGCATTACCCTAGCCACAATGGACTTCTAAGAGCAAAACCTCATCACTATAAAAACACATGAATATGACATCATCATTAAAGAAATTACTCTGCTATCACTGAAATAAATACAGGATTTTTTTTTTATCTTAAGACTACTCCTAGAACAAACTGTGAAGTCAGTTCTAATCACCTTCCTTTATCCTGAACAGAAACACCAGAATAAAGGCTGCAAGTTTCAAACTCATAATGTAATATACAGTAATCAATGATTGCAATACTTGGGTTGGTTGCCAATTTCCTCTAAAATTAAGGTAAAATAAGCATTGAATAGTTTGGGGTTTGTTTTCTTTTCTTTTTTTTGAAGAGTAGGGAAAATCTACATTTAACCCTAAGTGAGCAGTGGTCTTCTGAAAAATGTAATTGTTATAATATAATGTCATTAATATGTTTGAAACCCTCCTCTTCTAACACCCACCCCTTTCTCTCCCCCTATCCCCTCCCCAACACACATTTGGCATTACCCCAGCTGTTCCTTTCACCCCTAGCCAAAACAAAGCACAGGAGCCTCCATTACCTTTTGACATCATCAGGGAAAACGTCAGAAGAAAGGATTGTGTGGGTGTTTGTTTCGGATGCTCCAGCAAGGAGAAGATACTGTGATGGTAAGAGAGAGGCTGCCTACTGATTTTACAAATAAACTCAGACTTTTACTGGTGGTGTGAAAAAAATCCCAGGATTTTGAGGTGGTCTTTCTATCTCTTGGTTGATTTCTGAAGCCTCTTCTCTGTCCTGGTCAGTGGTGTCGGCCATCTTGGATTCTTATCCGAATATTCGATTAGGCGTTTTTTGTAATCGAGATAGAATTTTTAACCGAATATTCGAATAATTCGATTAATCGTTGCCGCCCTAAACAGAACATTGTACTATGGCATTTTACAACATATGACAATGCAAAACATAAATGTATGCTTCAGTAGTACTGTTATTCAATATCATATGACATAAAATGTCACCTTTTCCTACCAGTTCATTGTTATTTGTTTGATACTATAACTCATCTGAAACTATCCTCTGCCTCCTATACTGAACCCAACCATTGATGGTACACATTAGATTGTTTTATTAACTCAATAGCTTGTACATTTTATGACAATGCTGATCAGCAGTATTTTGCACTTTATGTAGTACCTTCAAACAGGTCTCCAGGTGGTGGAAATTTTAATACCACCACTATGAAAAGAATGTTTATACCCATTTTACAGATGGGTCCATGGAGGTACAGAAAGGATAAATAACTTGTCTGGAGGCATACAGTGGGTCAGCTGCAGACCTAGGACAGGAACTCAGGAGCCCTGACTCCCAGTCCCCAGCTCTGATCACTGGACCACACCCCCTCCCTCATTAAATAGCAAACATGAAGGTTTCCTTTTGAAATCATACTAACCTCTATTTGGCGTTCTTGAATTTTCACATGTGACTACTCCCTAGATGTTCAATCACAGAAATAACTGATCATTTTGTTTCCCCATGGAGATTAAAGCAAAGTTTTATTTGCTGTTTGGATCCCAGTCTAGAAACCAAACCATAAATGACCTTCATGTCATGAATACCTTTTCTTGCTTGCTCTCCATGTGTTTAATAGCTACATTTTGTAATACTTCTGTTTATCTGGGTACATATGAAAAAGGAAATGTAATCTTCAATACTAACCTATTTGGCATGCTTCCTTTTTCGGTAATAGCATCACACCACATGTTAAATCCAACACTCACTATAGTGCTGGCAATAAAGATGACAAAAACCACAAAGGCGCTGATCAGCAGATTCAGGAAAGCATAAAAGAAAGAGCTGCAATAAAAGGAAGAAAAATGTAACTCATAAACAGCTGAAATACAGCATCAGCAGTCTCTCGAAGTAGGATGCACTGGGCACATATGTAAGATACCAGTGTCCATTAGAAATACATCTGACTTAATTAAAAGCACCTCATACGATTGACAAACTAAGGGTTATAAGGTTGCTTCTCATTTTCCTTACCTCTTAGGCTCTTCTGCTTATTTTTTTAACGTAAGAAGATAGGACTCTAAATCGTAAATACGGAGCTGTGTACTTGCTCTCATACAGCATAGCTTACGTTAGCTCTAATGATGAAAATCACCATTGTTAAAATAAATGTCATTAGCTCAAATTATGTAGTTTCATAGTTTCATAGTTTCTAGGGTCAGAAGGGACCTGAGCAGATCATCTAGTCTGACCCCCTGCCATGGCAGGAAGAGCACTGGGGTCAAATGACCCCAGTAAGGTGGTCATCCAACCTCCTCTTAAAAACCCCCATGGTGGGAGCCTGCACCACCTCATTCGGAAGCTTGTTCCAGACTCCAGCCGCCCTGACCGTGAAGTAGCGCCTCCTGATGTCCAGCTTAAACCTTCCCTCCGCCAGCTTGTGACCATTGTTCCTGGTCACTCCTTGCGG